TTCCGGTGAAATTGATGATCACAAACTCTGTGGTTTCCTCTGTGTTGTTCTTTCCGTCGATTCGCCTGCTCCTCCGTTAGGTTCATCTTGTTTTATCTTCAATGATGGCTCCGTCACCGGTTTCAAATCCGATAATGGCATGATCTTATCCCTCATCAGTTCTACAGCTACTAATCTCAAATCCTTAATTTCTTCCGAAGGAGATCATGATGCTGACAATTGTGGAAAAATTGAAGAGGGTGGATTAGAGATTTCACCGAAACGCCGCAAGTGCGTTCAGGGAGAGAGTAGTAGTACACGAAAGTCTCCGAAATCTAAGAAACGGGTTTCCTCCGGGAGCAAGGAGAAGACCGGAGGGGGAAGGAAGCGGGTAAGGAGTATAGGTATGGTGAATGGAAGCATAAGTGTAGTGCAGCAACTTCACGCTTTGGTTTCCTATAAATGTTTGAAAATTATATGTCGAGTGGTCAAGGTTGATAAAGGTGAGAATGGAGAAGAAAGAGCTGTTGTGTTAGTTGATGTTTACCTGCCTCTTGCATTGTGGTCCGGATGGCAATTTCCCAAATCCCAAGCTACTGCTGCTGCAGTGTTTAAGCACATAAGGTAATTCTTTTCGACTCAGTAAATCCCTCTATAGTTTAGGATCTATAGCATAGAACTCAGGTTTTTTGAATAGAACTACAGTGCTCTTTATGTTGATATGCCAAATGGTAATGCATCTGTTGCTATCATGAATGCAAATTTCTTTTGTGGATGGGTGTGATTAGATACTGCTTTCGCATTTTTAATGAATTTCAGTTCTTTGCAGCTGTGACTGGAGGCTGAGAGTCTCAATCCTTAATGGGGAAAGTGTTTGGGAAGAGGCCAATGGAAGAGTTAAGGCCATATGGGATCTATCTGACTGCCATGTGTTTGATTGCAAGTTACTCTGTAATGCCCCAGATTCTCCGAAACGAAGATTATTTAAACTCCATGAAATCTTTAAGAGCTTGCCCAGTCCAAGATATAATTATGTGTCTGATTCTTCTAGAGTATTACCGTCTACTGACTCTTGCACATCTGGTATATGGGATCTCTCAGATGACGTTTTGATTAGCATACTGATGAAACTCGATACCAAGGATCTTTTTAGCATTGCAACAGTCTGCCGTCTCTTCAGATCATTGACCTCTTTAATTGTGCCATGTATGAATCTAAAACTCTTTCCTCATCAGCAGGCAGCAGTTGGTTGGATGCTGGAGCGTGAGAGGAAAGCTGAAGTTTTCTCGCATCCCCTTTACTTAAAGTTTGATACTGAGGATGGGTTTAGTTTCTATATAAATGCTGTGACTGGTGATATAATCTCTGAGGCAGCTCCCATGGTCAAGGATTTCCGTGGGGGAATGTTTTGCGATGAACCAGGTCTTGGAAAGACGATAACAGCATTATCCCTTATCTTAAAGACGCTGGGAACAATGGCTGATCCGCCTGAGGGACTTCCAATCGTTTGGTGTATGCATAAAAACGACCAAAAATGCGCCTATTATGAGTACACGAGTGACCAGTCCGCTGCTAACAGCATGTTTACTGGAAAAAGGTTTCTAAGTCCAACTAGCTGCCGAAATCAGTTTTCTTTTGAAGCCTTCCGTCCTCTGCTGGAGTCGAAATCGTTGCCACTTAAGCAAGCTAGGCTGATGGATCCAGATGATCAAACATTTGAGTCTAAGAACTCAATCTCTGGAAACGACTTTGAAACTCACATCCCTGCTTCCCTGGATTTAAAAGCTCAATGTAGAAAGAGCTTGGGTAATGTCAGAAAAAATCTCATGCATGCATATAACAACGCATCTGAGCTCTCTGAAGAGGTGGAAGCTAAAAGAATTGGTAATTGGAAGAAATTTGGTATGATAACCAGTTCCAAGAGAAAGAGTCTTACTGATCCGGATGTAGAAAGTGATATTTGGATACAGTGTGATTCGTGCTCAAAGTGGCGGAGAATAATAGATGAAGGCGTATCGGTTACTGGTTCTGCATGGTTTTGTAGCAACAATGGTGACCCTGCATATCAGAGTTGTAATGATCCTGAAGAATTATGGGATAGTTCTCAACCTATAAAATACTTGCAAGGGTTTTATACTAAGGGAGCCTCTGGTGAAGAAAATGATAATATCTCTTTCTTCACCGGTGTCCTTCGGGAACACAAGTCTTCAGTGAACTCAACCGTAAAGAAAGCCTTAATTTGGCTTGCTAAACTCCCGCGGGAGAAGCTCTCACAGATGGAAACAGTTGGCTTACCTGGTCCACTGTTGGGTAGTTGTTTGAGTCGAGATGTCCTTGGATACCAGAGAATATTTCGAGCATTTGGTCTTAAGAGTAGAGTTGAACAAGGAGTCATCAAATGGTTTTATCCGAAGTTTCTTGAGAACTTAGTATTTGATGTACCTGCCCTCAAGGTTGCTCTCTGTCAGCCACTGGATACATTTAGACTGTATTTGTCAAAAGCAACACTAATCGTTGTCCCCGCGAATTTAGTTGACCATTGGAAAACACAAATCCAAAAGCATGTTTACTCTGATCAGCTTCGTATTCTCGTTTGGACAGACCATATAAAGCTTTCTCCACACAGCTTGGCTTGGGATTATGATGTTGTGATCACAACTTTTAGTCGCTTAAGTGCAGAATGGAATCCCCGGAAGAAAAGCCCATTGATCCAAGTGCACTGGCTTAGGGTCATGCTAGATGAAGGACACACTCTCGGTTCTAGTGTCAGTTTGACTAATAAATTTCAGATGGCTGTTTCTCTGAAAGCTTGTAATCGTTGGCTATTGACAGGAACACCAACCCCTAACACGCCAAATAGCCAGATTTCACATATCCAACCTCTTTTAAAGTTTCTTCATGAGGAAGTATATGGAGAAAATCCAAAGTTTTGGGAAGCTGGCATCCTTAGACCATTTGAAGCAGAGATGGAGGAGGGTCGTTTGCGTTTACTTAAGCTGCTTCAGGGATGCATGATAAGTTCTAGAAAGAAAGATCTGCATATGATTCCTCCATGTATCAAGAAGTTGACATACCTTAATTTCCTTCCAGGGCATGCAAGAAGCTACAATGAACTAGTGGAGACAGTTAGGCGTAATATCTTATTAGCTGATTGGAATGATCCGTCTCATGTAGAAAGTCTGCTTAACTCTAAACAGTGGAAATTTCGTAGCACTACCATCAGTAATGTCAGACTATCTTGCTGTGTGGCTGGGCATATGAAAATGACTGACGCTGGTCATGATATTAAAGAGACTATGGATGCTTTACTTGAAAAAGGTCTGGATTTTTCGACGGAGGAGTATTCTTTTATTCAAGATAGCCTTATTAGTGGCTGTAGCTGTAAAAGGTATATCTTAAATCCAATGCTGTCATTAGTTTGGGACATATGTCACAAGTATCTAACTTGGCTTTTGCTTCTCATCTTATAAATAGATGTGAGGAATGGTGCAGGCTTCCTGTTATCACTCCATGTAGACACCTGCTGTGCCTTGATTGTGTTGCTCTTGATAGCACAAGGTGTACTATTCCTGGTTGTGGATATTTATATGAGATGCAAACTCCTGAAACGTTGGCTCGACCAGAAAATCCAAATCCAAAGTGGCCTGTGCCAAAGGATCTTATTGAGTTACAGCCTTCATATAAGCAGGTAGATATGCCTATAAACCATCTTAGAAGTTAATGACTAGGTTCCTGAATGGTATACTCAAATGCTTTACTTTATGATTCAGGATAACTGGAATCCTGACTGGCAGGAATCTACGTCCAGCAGTAAAGTCAGTTATCTGATAAGCAGGCTGAAGAAGTTACATGAGGCTAATAGAAAAAGCATTTTGTCTTTCAACAAGCCTGAAAATGACACCCTGGAAGATAATTCCCCTGGTACCTCAGAAGCCTTTTTGGGGAAAGAATTCCATGGACAGGATTGTGGAGCTCAGACTTTATTTGTTGATAAAGTATTGATTTTCTCTCAATTTCTTGAGCATATTCACGTGATTGAACAACAGGTATGAATTACCTCGTATTTGTTACGACATTCTTTATTTTTTCTCCGTGTTTTAAGTTTTGATCAATTCTATATCATGCTTTTGTAGTTGACAGCTGCTGGCATTAAGTTTGGTAAAATGTACAGCCCAATGCCTTCGTGTAATAAGGTACTGGGCTGTTGATTTTAATTTCTCTCACTCATCTTGCAATCCTTTAAAAGTCAAACAACTTTCGATTTCAACTTTTCAGATGAAATCTCTGGCAATGTTCCAGAACGATGTTGATTGCATGGCACTTTTGATGGATGGAAGTGCTGCCCTTGGTCTTGATTTGAGCTTTGTAACACACGTATTCCTGATGGAACCAATCTGGGATAAAAGGTACTGACTTTGAGCAATTTGGTTAAATATTTTTTGTATTCCATTGTGTTGCTGACTCCTACAATGTTCACAAATGAGCAGCATGGAAGAGCAAGTCATCAGTCGTGCTCATAGGATGGGTGCAAAGCGCCCTATTTATGTAGAAACATTAACTATGCGTGGCACGATTGAAGAACAAATGATGAGATTCCTAGAGGTACCATTGCTTCTTTTTTTTCCATCATTGCTCTGCAATTATTTAGTCATCAGATAAAAGCTTGGCATGCATTTGGTGAAAGTCTGAGCATCGTGTACATGTCAAATGTCCCTTATGTGTATTGCAGGATGCAGAAAAGAGTGATAAATTATTGAGTGGAGATTACATAAAAGCAGAGCAGGAGACAACAAGGTGCCGCCGAACGCTACATGATTTGGCAGAAAGCAATTACCTATCTCATCTTAGCTTTGTCCGATCCGATGACAAGATGGAATTTGCAGCATCAAAGATCACTAGTTAGCTTAAGAAAAGTTTATTTTGTAATCACAACAATTGAAATTGTTACACATTTTTAAATTTGGATATAAAAATGATGCCGATATTGGAATAAAAAGAAGCTACCAATCATTTCAAAGCATCTTTGATCAAACTTCTTGGCCTTCATCATCATCACCTTTGTCTTGCTTTTGCAGTTTCTTGTAGACAAAACGGTTAGCTATAAACAGATAAAAGCAGAGGCTCAAAGCATTTAACAATGCGATCACCCAATAAAAGTAATCAAGATGTGCTCTGTTAAGGTTGTTGACGAGCCATTGTTCACCGTGTCTTTTGCTGATTGTTTGGACGGTTGATATCATCCCGGTACTAACAAAACTCCCAACTCCAACAACGCTAATAAATATCGCTGCACCGATACTTCTCATAGTTTCAGGCATTTGATCATAGAAAAGCTCTTGCATACCAACAATAGTGAATACGTCTCCAATACCAACTAGCATGTATTGGGGAAGTAACCACAAGCTACTCATTGGAACAACTTCTTTTGGAGAGTCAATTAATCCATGATCTCTTGCAACTTTAAGTCTCTTAGCCTCCACAAGCCCACATATCATCTGTTATAAAACACAAGTCCAAAAACTCTTTGGTCATTATATACCATTCAAACCCAAAGATGTTGATAATGTGACAGTAACAACAATATATACGTAGAGAGAGAGAGAATTCACGTTACCATGTTAAAAGTAGCGACAAATAAGCCAACGCCGATTCTCTGGAGAGATGTGATTCCAGAATGGTGATTGGTGATCTTACGGAGCATAGGGACAAAGACTCGGTCGTAAAGAGGAATGAGGATGAGGATGGTGACACCAACAATGCTTTGGAAAGCAGCAGGAGGAATAGTGAAGTGATCTCCAATGGTTCTGTTCATCATGCTTCCTTGCTTCAAGAAGAAGGTGTTGAGCTGAGTGAGTGTGGCACAGAACATTATCAAGCTTATCCAAATTGGTATCAGCCTCAATACTAGCTTTACTTCTTCCACTTGGTTCACGGGACATAACCTCCATGGATCTCTAACTTTGTTTGAAGTTGCGTGATCAATCTCATCAATAATTGTAGCTTTATCAAGAAATCTGCATTGTTAATATTTGATATAATTAGTTGTGAGAATCATTAAACACATTTTTAAAAGTCACTGTCTAATAGATGCAGTACTTAAATGATTTCTTATCCCTTCACCTCTGTTTTTATCACCTTTCAAAACAAATTAACACTTAATTACAAAGTATGAACGTGTTGAAAAATGTTATATTTCTTTTGTTCTAGAAAAATTCTAAATAAAGAACAGTTAATTATGCATTATCCAGCTACTTATGAACGTGGCATTGTACGATTTCATTCAGTAGTAGTTTCTTGAATGATAAAAAGCTTGTTTAATGTAGAGTTGATTCCATTATTATTTTTTCCCTATGTTAAGTTAATACAGCTACTAAAAGAAGCATCTTCACGTGATCCCATGCACCTTCAAAGAGAGGAATACAGGGATTGCTCCGAATCATCATCTCTCTTCTTCTTTTTTTTTTTTTTTTTTTTTTTCAGGTTTACAATATCATTGCAGCTTAGTAATTTTTATTTGTATTATTTTATCAGAATTTAGAATTGAATCTATAAATATGTGTGTGTAATAAATGTTGACAACAATGATATAAGAAAAAAAAATGTAGACGATAATAAGAGTAATTCAATAATGATATATATATATATATATATATATGTATTATATAAGAATCATTAATCATTCAAATATATAGTATGAAAGTATGAAATCCTAACTTTTAACACAATCCAGTGTTATAGAATGATTATATAGTTTTAATTAAGATGTTATTATTTCTTAATATATATCTTCACAAATTTGGACATAAAAGAATTCGTAAAAGTCAAGAAAAGAGATTTGATCAGTGGGAAATCTACAAAGCAGTACGTCCTCCACACATAAATATTTTAGTTGATAGAAGCCTTGCAACGAGGCAGTTTCCAATATTCTAACATTAAGATGCATATGATATGTGCCCACAAAACCAGCATGTTGGACCACTTTGGAGAAATCGAATTTTTAATTAAAAACTCTCTTTGAAATTTGAATTAACGTGATATATAAATGTTTATAAATAGAAACTAAAGTAACGTAAGTACCTGAATTGACTGGTTCTTGCAAGAAGATATACTATTTTAGTGGCATTTGTTGACTCCGACTTGTGATCCTCCTCATCGTGGCAGAGGCCATAGGGGTGGCGTGTTGAGCTCAATCTCCATTTTTTAAGAGCGGCGACGATGACCTGAGCTATCCTCGTGAGAGGGCTTCCCACCGGAACTTGCTTACGGTATTTTGGAATTCCGATAAGAAATATCGTTATACCTATTCCTACACTTCCTGCTATTATGCTGAACCCTATTGACCAACTCACTCGTTCCTGTTCATATTAATAAAAATGATAAAACAAATAATTAATATGATTTTAGAGTTTGCATATCCTCTCTTCAATGAAGTTAGCTAGATAATTATCATTATATAAGGACATCATTATTGGGGGATCTTAGCCTCTAAGATCCCCCGGTTTTTGCAAAGAAAAGATCTTATCTAAGATCCCCCCAATAATGATGGTCTTATGTTCCCGTATTCCTGCTAACCATGTTAGTTATAATTACGCCAACCAATTTTGAAATATTTATATGAAACAAAAGTTAACGTATATATATATGTAACTATACCAAATCTGTTTTGGTATACTTTTATCAAAGTTGTACTACGTACATTATTTAGGAAACCATCGATCTCTCTCTATATATGTACGTCAGTACGTACCTTTATTTTGATTTGAGATATTTATAATTGAGTGAGTCAGCAAAATAAAAATTTACTGACAATAAGAAAAGTAGAAAACAAATTAAAAGAGAAATGAAATAAAATAAACCTGAATGAAGATGAGGGCAAGAACAGCTATGGAAGAACTAAGGACGATGGCCAAGTACCAATAATTGAAGAATGATGTTTTTGCTGCCTTCTCCTCTGCGTTAGCCTCTCCGAACTGGTCAGCAGCAAAGGTCATAACGCATGGCTTGTGTCCTCCCTCCCCAACCGCCATCACATACAATGCCATAAAGAACACTTTTTCTCTCATCCGCCGAGCCACAACTGTCACTGACAATGGCAACATTACAATTCCCTGGAAATTTTTTGATCATATGTTCACATTAGTCTTTGTTTCGACATCTTGAAAATGTGATAATGGGTTTATGGTATGGGATCAGACCAAAAGATAGATGAAAGAAGACAAGAGAACGGTTTTGAAGCGGCCTAGGATTGAGTCGGCTAGAAAACCCCCGAGGATGGGGAACATGCAAGAAACACCGATCCATGTGTTGATCTGCTTGGCCGCGGTGGCCGTGGACTGGCCAAGCTCGTTTGTTAGAAACGTTATTAGGTTGCTTGCAAGACCGTAGAACGCAAATCTCTCTGTCATCTCCACGACTGCAAATATTATAAACTATGAAGTTTCAAGTGAACGGTCGAAAATTGCAAGAAAACTTGAGAGAATTTGATACGTACCGATGATGAAAATGGCAGCGTTCCAGCCTCCTTTGGTTTGTTTAAGGATGATGGCGGTTGAATCTGACATGGCCGAGCAAATTTTGCTTTGGTAGTCAAAGCACCGAGATTATATATTGTAACTCACAATTTGTGAGTGTATCTAGACGTTTTTCTATAGGTCTGGAGATTATTATTAACTATGATCAAGGATCGAGATGTCCTTTTTTATATTTTGAAATTTGATTCTGATCTCTCTAAGTAAGTTTTTATATTCCATGTGTTTGTTTAATATACTACTGTGCCTTTATATATTTCTTAAATCAATGTATGTGAGGGGTCGGATCTCTTTGATGAAAAAAGTTTCCAAAAGTTTAGCTTTATAAGTTTTTCTTTGTAAAATGCATAATGATGACATGGCTAGGTGTAATCCTCTTATCAATTCAATTAATAAAAAATTTGAAAAAATTATGAATGTTTACGGCTGATGAGATATTGAACCAGGTGAGAAATATCTATCAAGCATGAACAAGTACAGCAAAACAAAAGATTGTCAATAAAAACTGTCGATGTTGAGATTTTGAGATTGTATGTGACTAAATTGATCTAAACGGTGTAAAAGACTTCATTCTAGTTTTTATCAAATTGAATTTTATTTACTAATAGTATTTAAAATACATTCAAAGATCGAAAGTATTTGACGTATAATAATATGGCTCGATTATTAATACAGTATCCTTTAAAATAACAGTTTGGGTTTTTTTTTTTTGGCTGCAATTAATAAGTAAAAAATAGAAGTGGAATAGTTCTTTTTCCATATAGTAAAAATCTGGATGCATCTGTATCAAAATAATATAAAGATGGATGATTACTAAAGGAACAAAAAAAAGTTAAATTTACTCTTTTACGATATTGTTTCCTTTTTGGTCTAATTATTGACAAAAATGATTAGGAAACCATAATTAATTAATTGGCACAAATAAGTGAAAAGCTTCTCCCTTTGTTGTTGTATCCATTCATTCCTCGGCATCCAAGCAACATAAGGTCTCATTCGATTTTCCCACTTGTCGGATCTTTCTACATATCTTTCTACCCCATTTCAATCATACCAAGTATTCTAATGATACTATTGAGTAGAGATTATCACACCACAAGTTTAATAATAAATGATCGTCTTAGATCTCTCAATTAGGTAATATTGTAAAATGATATCTGAAGATCAATGCGTTAAAGTACATAGACACATAACACACTAATTTTTTTTTGGAACGCGCCAAAACAACGCTTTTCTATTTGATCTTATAAACAAAATTTCTCTTTTACAAGGATACAATTTTGTCTCTGCTCTTAGTTAACCTATCTCTCTCAATAGGATTGAACCCGACTAAAGATCAAATCAAAGCCTACTCTCTTCTAACACCCCTGTAGATCTAAGAGAATGAAACCACACTCACCCTTATTTTTGTGGCTTCAAAGTTTACAATTGTATATCAATATTCTAGGAGTGCCCATAAGGATCGTGGCAAGCCCTAGAATATTTCTATTAAACCCGAGTTGAACAAAATTCTATTTGTTAACGCAGAAATTTACTGTTCTAAAGTCCTTATGTATATGAATAGGGTCTTTTGTGTTGTTGAAGCAAAGTGGTGAGGAATTCAATTGCACAGGTGTGAAACATTATAATCGACTCACCTATCACGTAGATATGTAATAATGTACTAAGTTGTTTTGGCATTACTTCACACTAGTGCATTATTATCTATATATATGATAAGAAGCTTGACACATGCAAACACGAAACACTGATACCAAAACTTAAACTTTGAGTTTATTAAGAGGAGTGCCATGTACACTTCTTTTTTTTATGGAAACTGAAACCAAATAAAGAGAATGATAAAGTTAATAAAGAGAATGAAGGGCAAAAGAAAGAGACAAAAACTGAAACCAAATAAACATAGTTTAAACAAACGCAACACAAAGAAACAAAACCAAACTCCAGTATCAGAGAAATACAAACAAGTTACATGGGATGGAAAATGACAAAAGCAGAATGAAGAGCAAAAGGGCAAAAACCAATCTCCCACTGTTACACATACGAATGAAGTTTCTAAGGATGGAAATAGAAACTAGGACTAGGTACTAGCCAAATCACAGATCCATGTGCCTAAGCTCGCTGTACTTGATACTAGTCCTCGCATTGTAGCTAGCCATGTTTGGGTTGGACTTGGCCATCATCATTCGACTGTTTCATTTTGTAATATGAGAACCACGTCTGAGCGGCTGTTAAAATCAATAGAAGAATTGCTGCAACCGTGGCTGTCCCGGTCCACAAATTACCAAAGTAATTACGTTTCAAAATAGCACAAGTTTTGTTGTAGTGGTTCTTGTGGTAAGCATTCAATCGATTAGCAATGCCTGAATACCATGAAGCTGAATCCACATAGACGCTGCGTCGTAACTTGTTCACCGTGTCTGCCACCAAACTTGTCTTCCCAACCCAATTGGTGATAATACCTTACAAAACAAAAAAGAACACCAAAATTCAATACATGCCATACACAATTAGCCGCATACAAGAACAATCTAATTTATAAAGAAGGTTACCTCTTTCAGCCAGCAAATTAGTGTCTTTGTCAGTGAGAAAGTCAATAAACGCTAAATAGCTATACACGTAAGGCTCATGAGCGTAAGAGCACTGCTCTAGTGCAACCAAGTTTCGAAAAGTCACCTCAAATTGATCATCCACACATAGGATGGGAATCATCAAGATGTTGTTTTCAAATCTCACTTTGATGGACATACTTTCTTGTACTGCCTGAAACTTTACTCCCCCGCTCCATAACAGATCTGCTCAAGGCATGCTTTTGATGTCTTCTTTAATGACTGGTTCATCGTCTTTTATACCGAGTGAGAATACATATACGCTCCTCACCAGATCAGTTAAATGTCAGCAGCTTGACAATACCCGCCAGTGGAAGCTTCCATCTCATATAAATTATTGTTGTATTCACATGGTTCCCACTTCTCTGCGTGAGATAAACCACGAAGCATATACCCCTAGCGTGGTTCTGATCGGTCCTCTCCATCACGCTTTGAAAACTGACTCTTCTAACGCCTCCAGATACGTGGAATACGTCAGTACGGAGAAGATCAAGATTGGTTACCTAGATGAATTCTCATCTTTGCTTCAAAAACAGGGACATGACATTAATGGTTTTTTAATGTCATGTCCCTGTTTTTGAAGCAAAGATGAGAATTCATCTAGGTAACCAACCTTGATCTTCTCCGTACTGATGTATTTCACGTACCTGGAGGCGTTGGAAGAGTCAGTTTTCAAAGCGTGATGGAGAGGACCGATCAGAACCACGCTAGGGGTATATACTTCGTGGTTTATCTCACGCAGAGAAGTGGGAACCCTGTGAATACAACAATAGTTTACATGAGAGAAGCTTCCACTGGCGGGTATTGGTATTGTCAAGCTACTGATCCCCCATTCTTTCTGATCGGTTTCGAAAAGTGTTCTCTGTGATGCAAAAGAGTTCAAATGATTAGAATAAGGGGAAAGAGACTGGAACAAAGTTGTCTTATTAGGTTTATGGGATAGAAAGCTGTCTATTGAAGAGAAACATGAAAATAGCAGTGCAAAAATCTTGATGCTAACACATAAGGAGCCACCAGAGTTTTGTCATTGTTTGGTGTTTATAAAGAATTAGACTTGTTCCGGCCTTGCAATAATATCTATAATCTTATATAATGGCAGGACAGTCATTGAGCTAGCATTTCAAAAAGGCTTTAACCTAGGCATAATGTATAGACTCTTCTCAGGATTAAAAAAATCACGTAACAGAAGTTTTTCAAGGGTCAAAAGCAGCTCAAGAAAAACACCAAGCTAAATGAACCACTGAATACTGATCACTAGATGAGATTTTCTTACCAAGTTGATTCAGAGCAGTAAACTTCAGTCAATCAGAAAATCACAGCATCATGAGAGTTTAAAAAAAAAAAAATCACGAATCCTAAGCTCAGCAGTAAGATAACAAAGTTCCATCACAAGCGAAGAAACAGTCTATAGTTGCTAGGTATCAAACAAGACGACCCCATTAATAGAGACAATGTCTACAGATTAAGCTAAGCTTGTGGTAGAAAACAGAGAATAGAAATCCAAATTAACGCAGAACAATGTCAATAAGGCATATATATATAAGCAGAAGAAATCACTTTACAGCATACTGGTGTAACAAATTACGCAGGAATTATAAACCAAGATCGAGACAGTAATTGAAGATCCAAAGCTGCTAATAGAAGAAGCAGCCAAACCGATCGATCTATTCCCACACGGAAACGAGAACTCCAAATCTAAGCAACTCAGTGAAGAACAATAAAACTAGAAATCCTGGAGCTGAATCGAGTGCGAGATTACCTTATAAAAATTGTTCCGGCGGTGAGGACGGCCTGAGAACGAGCGAAATCAAATCGTCGGTGAGATCTTTGTGGAGGGTTTTATTTGTTTCTCCTTCTAAAATCTAAACTGATTCTTCAGCCGTAAGCCCGTAAGAAAAAAAAAAGGAAGATAACCGCCTAACCGGAACCGGGTTTTCATGGGTTGACCCGATTAGAATAGAAGTCGGGTCAGGACCCGATATGATTCAAAAGAGGAAGATTTGGATAAACCCTGACATCGAAGTAAAAAACCCTCCCAATGGCTTCACTTCTTCTTTTTCCTCACCTTCACCATTTTGATTCTTCGCTAGATCGTAGAGAGATTGTAGTAGCTCGAAATTCACCAAAATCAAGGCAATTCCTCTCTCCGAGAGCTTCAATTAATGGCGGAATCACAATCGGAGCAGCAGCGGAAACCGCAGCTAAACCTAGTCGCAAAGGAAGGAAGAAGAAGCAATCCTCGACAGTGATTGAGAAACATGACATCGAGAAGGGTACTATCGAGACTGGTCCTGAATTGAATCCGGAGTTAGAGGATTACGACGATCGGGATCGAGTTTCCTTACGACGATCCGCCTCTCGTGTGCTGTTTCGGAGCCGTGCAGAAGGAGTTTATTCAGTTTTAATTTTTTTTCCATTTGCTTTACAGGTGACGACGTGGATACACCCAGACTTCCGGGATAAAAAAAGAAGAAGATAGAGCTTCCACTCGACAAAACAAAAGACTTTTTCGTTTCTTCTTTTGAAATTTTTAACTTGTTTTTCTATCTCTATAGCTAATAACTGTACACATCCTATTACATCGTCTCCAATTGCTTTAAATAACATCAAGTAATTAATATTTTTTTTTCAAACCATCAAGTAATTAAGAAGCTTTGGTCGTCCTATCCTCGTCTGTATATGATTTATCAAGCAAAGAACATAAAATAAACCAATCATCAATAACCGATTTCAATCATACCAAGTATTCTAATGATACTATTGAGTAGAGATTATCAGACTCGACAAGTTAAATAATGAATGATCGTCTCATTAGGTAACGTAAATGGATATCTGAAGAAGAGCAATGGAGACATGATATGAAGATTTAAACAACATTCTACATTAATGAAATAAATCCCTGACTACTACTTTAGTGATCATGCGAACATGACGCCACGTGTACATTTGTCGTTTTGTGAAGTAGTAGGGGATGGATATTCCCAGTGTTTGTGTTTCTCTTCCCTTGTTCAATCCGACAAACGACTCACCAAATGGATCAACCTTGATCCTGTCTTGCCCGCCCGAGAAATCATTCCTTCTACTCCATTCAGGAAATTCACAGCTAGTAAATAAGTAAGCATGGTTTCGCTGGCGACCCGAATGATTCTTCCTTCTGAAAATGGTTATAGAGCTTGGGAGGATCAGACCCTTTTCAAGTGGCGTAAGAGAGATCCTCATGTCACCTTGCGTTGCCATGAATCCGTCGAAGGTAATTCGATTACCCAACAATCCCTCAAAACTCTTGCTTTCTTCTGATAATTCTCACGGAGAACTTTTGTCGTTTCAATTACTAAATGACCAAATTGGAACAATAGGTTGTAAAGAGTGATCCTTTTTCATTTGAAATTCTTCTGGTAGCACCAATTCCGTGCTCTACCTTTCTTATCTTTGCTCATGATTGCTGAAGCTTGGGTCCTTAGATGCTCTGTAGCTGCAATTTCATCTCTCACACATGTCCATTTTGAGTGTGGTTTGAAGTAGTAACTCAGGGGAGAACTATAAAAGGGCATTCAATTTTTATATAATTGTATAGGTTCTTTGAGGTACTGGTATCAGCGGAATAACGTGGATCTCGCCGTGTCAAAAACTGCTGTTTGGAACGATGATGCTGTTCAAGCTGCTCTTGACAGCGCTGCTTTTTGGGTCGATGGGCTGCCCTTTGTTAAGTCTTTATCTGGTTACTGGAAGTTTTTCTTGGCTCCTAAACCTGCAAATGTTCCAGAAAATTTTTATGATGCTGCATTTCCTGATTCAGACTGGGACGCTTTACCCGGTCAGTTGCTGATCCTTTCTATACAGTTTTCATATTCTGTAGATTTTCTTGAAAAGCCAATATTCCTGAGATCGACCAATTATAGTAGTAGCTTGTCATGTATTCTTGTAATGTTTAGAATAATATTGAAGGTTTGATAGTGGGTTATATTAGTCGTGTCTAAAACTAGATCTTAAGATGGTTAAGGGTGTTATAATTCTGCAATCTGAGAGTTTTTTTCCGCCAATAATATACTGCTTACTTTTCTGTAACTTGTGTTTCAACTTGGAAGTCTCACTTGTATAACAGAAACGTGAGAGTTGGTTCTGTTGATATAATCTTCTGGTGTCTTGCAAATTTTGAATCACTTCCTTCGTTCTACAGTTCCTTCCAATTGGCAATGTCATGGATTTGATCGGCCTATCTATACAAATGTGGTGTACCCTTTCCCGAATGATCCTCCTCATGTTCCTGAGGATAATCCTACTGGTTGCTACAGAACCTACTTCCAGATTCCCAAAGAATGGAAGGGTATGTTCCATAAATTTTCTTGCTTTTCAGATCTAATGTACATAAATACATTTTTTTTATTGAAAACGCCTACAGTACTGTTAAATGGTTCACAGTATTGTTTTCTTCTTAAGATATACTGCACTGGACCGTAGTTTGTTTCCTAAGCATGCCTCTTGCATTTCATGCCTTCTCCAACCTTCTTCCCGCTAGATAGACTAGTAAATTATACTTCAAAAGTTAGTAGTTTTCGAACTTCCAGCAAGCTGCTAAATTCAGCATGCAATGCAAATGACCATAAATATTATTTGCATCTTCACATGTTAGGTATAAGTGAAAATGCGAACAACTCTCCCTGGATGATTCTTTTGTATGATCTTTGCTTTTTATTGTCACTTGCTTTTCTGAATAAAAGTTATGTCTTTCAGACAGAAGAATACTTCTTCACTTTGAAGCTGTAGACTCCGCATTCTTCGCTTGGATAAATGGCAACCCTATTGGGTACAGGTGTGACATATACCCTAAGAGAACTAAACTCTTTTTAATCGATCTTGTTGTGTCCTCTTCATTAGATATGTAAAAGGATATAGAGGCAGTCTTTCTTCTGGGTTCAACTTAAGTCTAAACTGCCTAGTCAAGGAAATGTAGCAATGCCCTCTATATAAGAATTGACATTATGCTGGAAATTGAATATGTCACTTCCTATCCATTTTTATTTTCTTATAAGTTGCCAAATTTAACCTGAAACATAAGAAATAAGGATGCATAGTGTTTTGTGCTATGTAAATACTTTGCTTTGGTTAGAAAACATTTAACTTAGAATGTTAACTGTAGTTAGAGGGTTCTTGTCAAATCATAGGGTACAAAGACTAGTCTTATTTTAACTTCATTTATGTTCTAGCACCTATTTTCTGTTTGGCAGTATTGTTCTGAAGTAATACCATACCAAACTATTTCCCCTTTTCTCTTAAATCAGTCAAGACAGCAGGTTACCAGCTGAATTTGAAATATCTGAATATTGCTATCCATGGGACTCGGGGAAACAAAATGTTCTTGCTGTTCAAGTCTTTAGATGGAGTGATGGTTCATACCTCGAAGACCAAGATCATTGGTGGTTGTCTGGTATTCATCGAGATGTGCTATTGTTAGCAAAGCCCAAGGTTTTTCCTCTAGTTTTGTTAACCAGAATATATGTCA